GACCACCAGTGAGCCAAGGGTCGCGATTGACGTTCGGCGTCCACAAGGGATACCTGAAAAAACGTATGAAAAGCAATTTAACTTAAATTCATTTTTTAAATCATTTTTTACCAGTCAGGATTATCAGTGGTGACGCCCTCCGGAAGCCAGCCCCCATAGTAGACAATCTCCGTCTTGGAGCTGCTCTCAAAGCTGTCGCTGACATTGCTCCGCTTGTGATCCGTCTCGGCGTTGACGTTGAACTTGCCCAGAAACTTCGCCTCCAAGTTCGACTCAATCTCGTCCTCGCTGTTGGCGCTGACGTACCGCTCTACCAATTGCGTTTTCATGTACAGCGAGCCGCCAAAGGTGGCCGACTCGAAGTAGTGGGTGCCGAACTGCCGTACAAACTTGTCGTACAGTCGAGGATTCTCCTCGTACTTGGCCACCGCGGCCTTATCACCGTCGCCGTCGTCGTCGAAGAACTGGCTAAAGTCGTCAGTTAGTTTGAGGTGGCGGGGCAGTTTAAAGTCGACCATGTGCGTGGAGACGGCGGCTGTGGTCTGTGAGAAGAAAAAAAGGTGTTCATAAAGTATTTAAAAAGGGCTTTAAAAACTACAAAATATTGTGCTAAAACAGCCAATTTTCGACACTCGCTTACCTCAGCCATCGTCTTATTATTCTGGTGCAAGCTCTCCTGAACGCCCTTAAAGGTAACCGAGGCGCTGAAGCCGAACTTCTCCACGTCCTCCAGCCCGGCGCCCACCTTGGTGCTCCAGCTCTTCTTCAGCTCCTCAGAGTCGCCGCTGATCTTTACCACCGCTTTCAGCGACCCGGTGGGCAGTGTCGCCGGTCGTTGCACCTGATCGGGCACATCGTAGGTGACCTCAGTCTGCGGGTGTTGCCACTTCTCCTCGCGGTTGCAGGTAAAGTCGATCAAGCGGGAGCGGACGCCGCCGATGACGGTTCGGGCCGTTTCCGGCGGCGTCAGGTCGAGCTCGGTGATGTCGATGCCGCGGCTGATGCGGTCGATTCCAGGTACGACCAGTTCGCCGCACACTTTGTCATCTTCATCTCTGTCTCCATCTCCGTCTGGGTCATCTTTAAGGTAAAGAGAGAAGGATTGTTGAGTGAAGATGAAAAGTATTAACAGAAAAATTTTTAGCATTTTTAAAAGCAAAAAAATTAAAAAATAAGATTAAAGTTTCAATTTTTTCACTTTATCTGGCCAGTTATAAAGGGTGAAAGAGGGTGAGCGAATAGGTGAAAAGTGCCTCTTAAACTTGTTTTCTGCTGACCAGTTGTCTAGTCTTGTTTTTCGTTTGAAGGATTTCCTTAATAGTTTGCACTTGACCAACTGAAACCTGTGCACACGGTCAGTCACGAGGGTAATGAACGAGGTCATTGGCAAGTTTATCTTTAAATTTTTATTTGTAAAAAACAAATTGAAAACGATCAAAATGAAAAAAGTAGTCTAAGGTCACCAGAGAGCATTCGGTGTAATTAATTCAGTTTTTCCTTTTCCGTGTTTTTCTTCTTTTTTATAGCATCAATTTTTTAATAAGATAAAAAAAGTATAAAGTTTTTTACTAATTGTGATTGTGTGGCGCCAGCCACAGACGCCGTACACTCGCGTCCAGCTGACATGCACGTTCAGCAAACGTTGACCTAACGAACATGTTCATCTCACTGCTTATTACACTATTACACTCAATGTTTGTTACACACACATCACACACATCACATCAGGGTTCACTCTCTTGTCTCCCCACACAGTTCACTTTTGTCACCCATCACACAACAGTACATAATCCTATCGTAAGTTCACACACCACAACAGTCTGTTTTCAACACTTACCAGACTCTGTTACTCTGTTCACCATCTCACCACTTTTCTCTTCTTCACCAGTCTCTTCATCATCCTCACAATAAACTTCGATAGCTCATCCGCTACAATTGTAAAATAAAATAAAAAATTTTAAATATAATTGTTTTTAAAATGTCAAACAAGATTGCATGTGTTACCTCAATATTTTTGTTTTATTTTTAACAAGTTTTGAATACGTTTTATTAAGCGGCGGCAGTGTACTGCAATGCCGTTTTTTTAATCATAACGTTGTACAAGTGAGATGTTGTGCTAGTCTGTGCTAAGCTTGTAAAAAAGTGAAACCGTGAGCTTAAGACAGTCAATGAAATGTGTTACACCGACGACACTCTCAATTGAAGCGTAAGGAGAAGAAACTGAAAAGAAAAATGTTGAAAGAAACTATGGCAACAGTTTTAAACAAGAAAATCAGTTGATTTTAAAAATGGCACAACGGAAAAAAGCAAAATGCACTTTACTTTTCAGCATTTTTAAAAATTGCAAAAATATTTTATTTTGTCATCATTTAAAAAATATAATGAAAAATTAAAAAAATAATTTTGATAACAGTTGTATTTTTTTTGTTTGTAGCACTTGTCTGTCCTTGAGAATGGGGAAAGCGTGTAGTGCAGAAGGTGATCAATAAAGCTTTTCTGTGCAAATAATCAAGTGAGTTAAAATTAAAAACGTTTCCTGTTGTTAAAAATCACACATAAAATTGAGAATTAAGGTAGAAATAAAAGTGTATTGTTGGCAAGAAATTGTACATAGTTAAGATGAGCACAAACTATCTCAAAATTGACAACACTATTTAATTAAATTCTGAGTATTCATTGTCATTATGCAAAAAAACAAAAAAAACATTGTTAAAAAAATTAAAAATGAGAAGGGGGCTCAGTTAAGCGTGCGAAAAATGTAAAGTTCGCTGGCATCGGTGACGGTAACAACGGTCACCTTTGGACCTCCTCTTCTTCTACCACCACCATCACCACCATCACCACCACCACCACCATCATCATCATCACCAGCAGCAGCAGCAAATCGCGTCACCAGTCGATTGACACTGCCGTGCGTCATGAAGGACTGC